TTATTAACATTCAAAAGCAGCTGATCTGGTCACTTAGTGCCATTTTGCATCCTTGCCTTCAGGAGGAGCTTATTTTCCTGTCTGTAAAATGGGAATGACAGGCCCTGTCCAGAAGGCTCACTGTGCCATGTGTTAGCAATCACGGCGCTGCTGTCGCTGTCTGGAGTGATTTGTCACAATTCCTTTCTTGGGAATCACAGTATTTTGGTTCAGCAAAGGTACAGCTAAAGGGGGTGAAAACAGTAAGTGTGAGATTGTGTGGTGTGCAGAAAGAGGAGACAGCTTGTCCCAATAAACTATGAGGTGTCATGCTGAGGTGGAGCTGCGAGTCCAGCCTGCGAGGTGCAGTGTAGGATCTGCCAGAGCTCTGAAGGTGTGTGTGGCCATTGGAGAGCAGTCGTGTTTGCTGCTGCCATGGCTGCCAGTGGTTTGGGAAAGGGCTTTGGCACAGACATGCATATCTAATGACAATAGGTTCATGAATGTAGTTAAAACACAGTCAAACACACACACCACACACCCCCCCAGAGCACAGCAGATGAAGACTGGTTCCTTCTCTGTGGAGACTCCTCTGTCATGGCAGTGGAGGCTGAGGCTTGCTTGTCTGAGCAGTCCCACAGAGCTTGCTGTGCTTGAGGGGATACTGATGCAGAGCCTTTTCCTGGGCTGTCTCCCTGCCTTGCCTACCCCAACTGCAGCAGAATTTCCTTCTGGTGATTTCTGGGCATTTGCTGCTCATATTTCCTGCCTTGGAAGTCTCAGGAGAGTAATCATGGTTTTCTTTTAACTTTCTCCCTCTTCCACAGACTATCCAGCGGTACTCTGACAGTTCTGTGCAACCTCTAGCTTTACAGAGTTTTTATGCTTGTGTTCCCTGCTACTTTCAACATTCTTTTGTGCTCCAATTCTATTTTTCACTTACCACTTTATCTTCTAATCTCCTCATCTTCCCCTGCCTGCCTTCTCCACCTCTCTGTCCGAGTCCTGGGCCCTGGCATGGAGGTGGACAGTGGCCAGGGGAGCATGTGGTGTGTCTAGCAGAGAGGAGAGGATGGAAGTTTCGCACCTGAGCCACCGTGGGGGGGCGGCTGCAGCAGGTGTAACCAGATTGGGTCTGTGGTGTGTTCTGGTCCTGACATGTGGATGTTCTGGGGTAAGCTGTGCACATGGGAGCCTCCTGAGGAGGAATGAAATCCTGTAGAGAGCAAATGGCTCCCTGAGGTGACACAGAGCTTGACTGTGGCTCTGGGCAGCAGCCGAAGCTGTCCTGTGCAACTGGGCAAAAACTGAGAGCGACCGGGACTGTCAGTGCCTGTTGCTGGTGCCTGACTGGGATGGAACAGGCTTGGCGGTTGTGACAGCCCCCTCTGCACCCGCAGGTGTGCTCAGGAAACCTCTGCCGCTGTCACCGCTGAAGACTTGCGTGGCCTGAAGACCTTCCAGGTTTCAGCATCTGTCTGGTGCTTCCTCTGGAGCTGCTGGCGCCTGTTATCGTGGGTTATGGCGGGCCAGGCAGGGCGGCACCTCGCCTGACAGCTCTGGCAGCAGAGGCGCGGTTCTGGTGAAACTCCCGGGGATGAGACTCTGGGTTGAGGTCACGCCACCCCACGGGTCTATTGGCGAGGGCTGTGCCGCTGCCGGGCACAGTGGGACACCGGTTGTGGGTGGGCATTCCTGCCGGCCGCTGCTGGGTTGTATTCTGTGCTGTTACCAGGAAAATCACGGGTGTATGTGGCCAGATCCGGTGACTGGGGTCCCTTTAACTATGGGAGTGTTCTTCTGTGACCATCTCCACACCAAAGAGTGCTGGGCGCCCTGCTTGGGGTTGTGCATCAGGGATCTGGTCAGGTATGTCAGAGGCATCGACTTCCGCAGCATCCAGACACCTCACAGGCCTTCGATTACAGTAACGTCTGCCTCGTCAACACCCAGAGGGGCAAAATAATCGCAAGGGGATGCTGTTTCTTTTTTAACACTTAATTTCTCTTTTATTACTTGGGCTAGAGCCTTTGTTCCAGACACAGTCCAAACTGTCTTTGAAACCAGAAATGTGACTGCGCCTGGATGCACTGCGTTATTTCCTTTCTTTCTTCTCCCTTTCTTCCTAAAGCGAGCAGCCTCTGGGGTGTTTTGCAGCACTACTGCTGTTCAACATGAAGAGGCTGGGAAACTGATGTATGCAACGATTAAATCACTTTCACAAGGTCATGCGGCGAATCATTGGCGACGCCAAGAATAGCACCCCAAGTCTCTTGGCTCTCTCTAGCCCACCCCAAACACTACAGCCTGCCTTTTCCTGGTGAGCATGATCTGATTCATAATGCAGCAGTTCTGCTACCTCTCTGCGATCTTGCTGCTGCTGCAGAGAAAAGCAGCCAGGCTCAGGCAGCAACAGAGATTGTACATGTCTATAGCAAAAAGTCTAAACCCCAGAAACAGTATTTAGCAGCTTATCTACAGATAAGCTTATAAAATGTACTGACTGGTTAAAAATAGGTTTTAAAGTTCTTGGCAAACATCTCGAACTTTATATTCTTTGGTTTTTGCTGCAGTACAAAAATACCATTTCAATGATTCTGATTCATATTGGCTTTTTCTGGTCTTTCTGGAGAAGTACCAAATTATTGATGGGTGTTTTTTGCTTTTAATTGTGCTCTTGAGTGCTAAACCTATTCCTGCTATTTGCTTGCAGTATGTTTAGGCTATGTTTAGGCAAATGCAAATGTGAGTGGTTATTCAGTGCCTTTGGCACTCGGAACAGAATGTACCGAACTCCCGGGGCTGGTTACAAAACCTCAGCCTCCAGCACTAACAAAGCCTGTGCAGGCAGTAGCTGAAATGTGAGAACTACCTGGTCTTGGCAGAGGGAGTTCAGAGGATCTGAGAAGATCACAGATCGCAAACTTACACCCAGTTTTTGGCCTGTGGACTGAGTGAATGGAACGAGGGGACTCCTGCCTGTGTGCTGGCAGCTACGGGTGCTCTGGGGAGGCTGCACGTGTGCTGCCTGTGGCGCTGGCACCGGGGTGGTTTAACTGTGGTCTGTGGATCCTTTTGCAGCATGTCGTGTACGGGTGAAGTTCTGTCTGGCTGTATCAACACCCTGCTCAGTCAGTGTGTTCCTCAATCGTAATGGAGGCTTTCCTCCCCTGGACACCGCAGCCTTTGGAAGGGAGGTGTAACAGCGCGGTGCTACTGCCTGGCCGTTGGCAGCAGCTCGAGATTTTTACAGTTGTTTGCCTTGTTACTTAACCTATTTTAAGCTCTGATGGAGTAAGGATGGCATTTGATCACAGTACTGGGCACAACTGTTTGGCTTTTATAACCCATGTTTTAAACCAGAGGCTTTTTCCATATATGCTTGTGTCTTCAAGTAACTTAGACTGGTGGCTTTAGACTTGTGTGCTCTTTTGCTGGCCTTTGCCATTGCCTCTTATGAGAGAGCTCCCGACTGTCCCTGGGGCAGGTGTTGTTTGCCTGGGTGGGAACCCCTCGAAGGAAGGAGCGTAGCGATGCCTGGGGGGCACATACACCGAACAGAGCATTTCCTGGCCTCCATCCTTGGTCTAGCTCTCATGGTGGGAGCTAAAGATGTCCTCCTGTCTCTGCCTTTTTATTGGATTTTCTTTCTCATCTCTACATGAGTGCCATTTGTTGTTTGATCATGGGTTTATTAAGCTAGTGGCATAAAGACTTTAATATCTAGTGCCACAGGATAAATCTCTCCCGTAGTGGAAATGATCAGCTGCTGATGCTGGTTCTGTGTTCATCTACCTCAGTACGCTGAATGAGGGCCTCTGTCTAGCATGTAAAACACTCTTAGAACTGCTGCTCAGTTTTTTTCACAGGGCTGAGATTTCCAAGAGCAGCTTGCCCTGCAAGCTCGGTCCCTCGGTGTTTTCATGGGTTAGATACATTTATGGTTAGCAGTGAAGGTTAGTCTTGTGTCATTTGTTTTAATGCTGTGCAGAGCAAGGCAAAAGGCTTGTTTCTTCTTGCAAGGGAGTGTAGCCAGGAGATGAATGTTTGCCACCTGGGAGGAAAACCAGGGCTGGCAGTAACGTGAAGTCAGGAGAAAAGAAAAAGGAAGCACTCAGCTGAGAGGGCCAGAGTGCAGAGGGGAGGAGAGGCAGGTAGTAAGATGTCTGTCATGGTTGTCTCTGATCTCCTTACGTAATAATCTAAGAAGCTCAGAAAAGTGTATCACCAGAGCTGCTGCTTTACACTGTCTTTGGGTGGTAAGAAAAGCCGTGAGACCTCTTAGCTGCTTTGTTCTGTACAGTTGTTTTCCAAGGCCTACACAGATAACTAACACCCATAAAACTAATACGCGTTTACTGTGATCTGAAATTAGATTTCTGCCCATATATTCTCCTGCTTTCGTGTTTTGATGGCCAAGTGTTTATCAAATCTCTGCCTTTTTTTATGTATTTCCTGCTGTACGTGAATATACCAGCTTTGGGGTAACTGTGCACCGCATTCACACACACAAATACCTGGTACTTGTGACACCCTGGGACTGGGGTTGGAAATCTCGCTCTGACCTCTCAAATCAGGATCCCAGTTGTGGGATTGCTGGGTTATTGTGCAAGGTGGTGTTTGATGCGTGAAAGAAAATCACATTCTGCATTAAGCAAGATTTACAGCTGCTGAAACATCCATGCTGTATATAATGTAGGTTAGAAGGAAATCCGGAACAGCTGGTATGTTACAGTAAACTACAGTTTGTGCTGTTGGGGCCTAAGGGACAGCTTGTTACTGCAAATGCCATTTCCCCTCCTCCGGTCCATCCGAGCGGCCCGGCTTTCTCTCAGACCTGTCTTGGGCCAAAGCGAAATGTGGGCAGGCTGCCTCAGGGCAAAAAGTGGAGGCACTTCACAGTTCAGAACCACTTAAGACAAGGCTAGCGTTGCATTCCATCCTGGTTTTGCTAAATCAGATTTATTTTTTTCCCCTGATGGATCTTACTCTCATTGCTGTGTCTCTTCTGTTGTTTTCAGGTTGATGGACCTTTCTGCAGCCAGATTTGAAACAGCCAGATTCCAGCATAGACCAAAGTCCCTAGGATTCACACGTGATTTCCAGGAAGGCTTCTTTAAGGTATTCCTGATGAACATTATGAAGTCATAAACTTTTAGTTTTGGGTGCCTGAAATGCCCTAGGAATTTTCTGATGAGGGTACCTTTCAAAAAGTTGTTATGCTGCAGTGCTCATTGCTTGAAATTTCTAGAATGACCCATGTCCTGTAAAACCAATTCTTCACGAAGCGTTGGACGTGTTTTCCAGTACCTCCTGGGGGTGTCCCTGATCCCAGCTCTGGTTTGGTGTGAATGCATGAGAAGCCAAAAGAGAAACTGATTTGCTTTCTGCATCTCGTCTCTGCTTTTCCTCTTGTGCTAAGGGCCATAAAGCAGAAAAGTAATTGAAAAATGGTAGCTTGAGGCAGTGCTGTATATGTACTTGTGTGAGCTGGTTACCCTTCCTCCTCCTGGCCTCTGTACTCTGCTGCTAATGGATTTGGATAGACAAGGGAGGGTTTTTGTTTCAGGGAGGCAGGCTGGCTGGCAGCTCCTCCCGGCACTGCCGCTGGCCCGGGCAGGCTGCCTGTCCTGCAGCCATGCCGCAGCTGACAGCGGGGTGACCAGCTCACTTTACTTAGAAGGTTGGTACATCCACAGCCTGTAACACGATCAGTGGGAGCAGCTGAACGATTCGGAGCGTACAAAGAACAACACAGAGAGGTTGGGTTTTATTGCATTTTGAGCTCTTTCCATAGAAAGCAAAAGGAACACTGTGGTTTTCCTTATTTGTGTGGTCCTGATGCAGAGTATTGTGAGTTGCAGAGAATGATGGAAGCAGACAGTGTTTGTGCTGGTAACAGGGGTTGAAATATTTCCTGTCATGGAAAAGATGAACAAGCCAATTCCACATCACCTTTCTTTTCTGAGCCCTGTGAGTACAGTCAGTTGCTTCTATTTTAATTTATGAGCTTCTGCCCTGTGTGGTATCCACGCCATTGCCATGCTTGGTCAAGTGTCACCTTCCCAGGAGTGGCACGAAGGGAGTAATGGGGCACAAGCCCTCTGGTCCTCCCTCCACCTGTCTCCTGTTCTTCACGTTTTGCTGTATCACGCACTGCTGAAGCCAGAGCAGGGGCAGGAGAGAGCCGAGGTGGCAGCAGAAGAGGAGGGCATGAGGGGACCGAAGGGAGAGGTAATGCAGGAGCAGTAGGCAGAGGAGGCACCATCCTTGGTGGCTGTGGTGTGGTCGGCACACTGTGCTGAGGAAAGAGCAGCCCTGCAGTATTCCCTGCAGTATTCCTTGTCGTTCGTGGCTGCAGTAGCCTGTACATCAAGTAAGGAGAAAGAGCCATCCCTTCCTCCTCAGGGGTGGAAGAACCTGGCCAGCCCTGAAGAAATCCAGCCCAGATGTGTTCCCTGGAGCCAGCACTGCGGGATCAAACCTCCTGCTCCAGCAGCCCAAAGGGGCTAGTGATAAACTCGCCTGATGCGGCTCTGAGCTTTTTGAAGCTCTTGTTCCCAATTAGACAAGATACAGAAGCCTTATTCTACTGAGAGATGATGCACTGCGGATAGGTGAAGTCTCTGTAAGGATGAAATTGTCGGGTAAATTCTGCTTGTGGAGGCCTGACGTGTAGAAGACAGCAGCTGTATTTGCTGGAAGCTGGAAGTCGCAGAACTGTCAGTCACTCTCTTGGCTTCTGATCTGAATAGCTCTGACCAGGAAGCACTGAAACATTAAACAGAAGAACTTGCAGGTTCTTTTTGAGGTTATTTTTACTTTCTACAATTGCAGGCAAAGAGGACCAGATTTTTCTGGAGCATATGCCTATAGTGAAAAGCCCTGGGCGCATTTGCCGTCCTGTGGGCAACCAGCATCAGCAGCTTGTGTGTGTGTGCGGGGGGGTTTATGCACAAACTTGGAGAACAAGGTGCTGGTAGCTCCTAAGGCTGTTGCTTTCAGAAGTGTTCTGAAGGGGACGGTTGGACAGAAATCCCCTTTAGTGACACATAGGTCTTTTTTCTGTCAAAGAGGGAAGGTGGTCTAATTATCCTTTCTGTGGTCATCACCCAAACCAATGGTGCATCATCTTGAGCCAGCAAATACCCCTTGCAGTGGATGTCAGTGGGTACAGCCAAAGATCTTCTTAGAGTTTCCTTTCCTTTGGCTTCCTTGGGAGCAGAAGCGTCTCCCTGCCACCCTCAGCTACCAGGAACTGATCTTCCTCAAGCTGATGCTCCTGAACATCAGCAGAGTTGCTCTGTCTCCACTCACCTTGCCCGGTATTATCTAGCTTGCTCAGTAGTGATGCAGACAGAAGCTTTCTGCTGCTTGGTACCTTTGAAAGTCTCCTAAAGTATGCGGGCTAGGCAGTTTAGGAAGAGAAGCAGTGATTTGGAGCAGAAGCTGGCAGGGCCTGCTTTTGTACTCTGTATTAGAGCTTGTCCCTGTGTGTGTGCGTTCACTCATGCATATCTCCTCTTCAGCACTTTATCTCCCTCTTCTCTTTAGTGCGTTATCTCACTTCTGCTCTTTAGTGCCCATTATCTCTTGTCAGCTATCTGCGTTACAGAGTGTAGGACACCATTTAGGAGGAGTGCTGTGAATCAACCTTGTCTGTCATCTCCAGGATAGCTACGCGTGTGTGGGTGATGCACGTTTCACGTGAGGGTGCTTCTCCTGAGGGCAGCGTGCTGTATACCTGATCTTGCTGCTGGCTACCCTACCACATCCCATACCTGGCCTTGCCCTCTCTGCCTGGGTGGTATTTTGTAGACACCTGCAGGTAAGGAAGCCTGGCTGCTGTCTGTTTGCAGTTCCGCTGTGCTGATCTGCTTTCCTCTGTCACTCACCAACGGGTGAATACCTTATGCGGGCACTATGATCATCTTCACAACCACCTGTCTGAAAATCGTTTTCCATCTGTGGCTGAGTCCTGTCTGCGTGCTTTGTTCACGTTCCCTGCAGTCACCCTGGTTCTCCTCCCATTCCTCGGTGGCATAGCTCTGCCAGGCACAAGGAAGTGATGCAGAGTCAGGCTGGAGTGAGCAAGGAAGACTCTGTCCCCGGGTGATTTTTCTGCTCTTCATGGATACCTGGAGTAACCAGAGCAAGTGGCTTGTGTCCAGAATATGCAAATGCAGGTGTGTGACAAATGAACCAGTTGTCTGTTTTTTGGTGAACTGAGTAAAGCAGCTGTACTCAACCAGGCAACGGGCTGGAGAGCGACCCTCCCATGTTCCTCTGGCTACAGGAAACTCATCAGCTAAAACAGGAGCCTGGTGGGCAGAGCCCAGGCTGGTTCTTATCCCTGGTGCTGTGCTACTGCTTGTGGGCTGCTGCCCTCGGCCTGTGGCTGCAAAAGATGAATAGCCGGCAGGAAGGTGGCAAGTATGTGCTACTTAAACATACATTGCCTGATGGCTGCCTTCCCAGTGCCCAGATGTATGGCTTGCTCTAGGACGCTGGGACCTCCCTCTCTGCTGCGGTAGACACTTCTATTATTAGTTCAGTGGCAGCTTTCCATATGCCAACACTCGTGACTGCAGGACTGTTTAATTTTCACTTCTCTGAAGTACTTAATTTGTCAGCTGTTGGCTTTATTCATTAAAGACCAAACGTCGAAGTCCTTACCTAGATTTTTGCTCTGTTAGGACTGAAGCATGGATCCTGTCCAGACAGACCATTGTATCTATGCAGAGCCAGAGGTGGGATAAGGTCTTACATCCAGAAAGTCAATCACTTCTGGGATAATCAGTAGAAAACCCCCATCTTGAGGGGTGGGTGTCCGGCCTCCCTTCTTCTGTTCAGAAAAATTAAAAATCAGTTCTGCCAAACGTACTGCCCGCTTGCATTTCAGCGCCTGCCTGAAGATGTGGTGTGCAGTTGCTGGTGCCTGTCTGCAGGTGCTGGCACTTCTCTGGTGGCTGAGGATAGCTGCTGCTGTGAGATAATCACCCAGCAATTCACTGCTGGGGGCCTCTCTTTAATTATTGAATGCCAGAATAGGAATATATTGAATTACCTTGCTGACAGATATAACCTCCAGAATCTCTTGTAACTCTACAATATTCTCAGTTTTCCTACTTGCGTAACATGAAATCTTCAAAGAATCCAAAAAAAGGCAAAATATGTTTTTATATATTGCTTATATAGCAGTACATGTATCCAGGAAATAATGAAGCTGTACACTGGCTTTGAAGATAGCCTTGCTTGGCAGTCAGCAGCGTGTGGTTATTCTTCTTTAAAGCCAGGCCTGCACTTGGGTGCGCAGCAGGATGTGCATGGTGCGTTATCAAGGCAACCAACAACAAAAAACAACCCCAGAAGAGAGGGGGAGCAGCCTAATTTTGCTCTGGCTTCTCTGAAGTGTTTAATTTGTCAGCTGTTGTTGTGGAAGATCTGGCTGACGGGTCTTGAGGAAACTGCAACCTGTAGCTGTGGTGCTGGGGCGCACGGGACACAGCAGGCGCCCGTCTCCCTGCGGGGCCTCGCCGGAGTCACCCGCAGCAGCGCGTGAAGGGGGGGGAGAGAAAATCAACATACGCATTTGTAATGTTTCCTATCTTGCAGAGATGCAAGTATATGCCAGCGTTCCCCCTCATCCCTCCTCCTCTGTCCTGCTGTTACGTATGGATTGCAGGCGTTAGATCTGCAAGCGGTGGCTGAGAAATTGGCCACAGATCCCTTGACCTTTAGTTCCTGTAAAATCTTCTGGGTAACGCAGTCTTCAGTGCTCACAGACATGACAGGGTTTTTGGATACGCTCTCTCTAAATGTGGAAAGCAAAATTTGTCATTCCTTATAAAACATGTCTTCTCATTTCCCAAACCATGCTGAATTCCGTGTAATCCTGGTAACAATTTACAAAAGCGTTGTGTAATATTCTTCCTTTCATTACTGGAAGGAAAGGCAGTGCTGCGGTTAATCGAACATTTTGTCATTTGCAAGTTTGGGAGAATTTCGTGCTGCTGCATGTTGCCAGTCAAGCAGCCATGGAGCCCGAGGTCCCTCCTTTGTCACATGCAGCAGCCCTGGCAGGTGCTGACAGAATAATTACAGGCTGGAGTGGGTGATAC